ATTTTCTTTAAATAAAAAATTAAAAAAATAAATCTTTTAGAAAGTCATGTTTAGTTTATACTCGTATTCATATGTCCTCAATTTAGGATATATAATATTTAGTAGCTTATGTAGTAAATGCAATGGGTTGTGTTTATTTGGATAGCTGAATCTTAAAAGGATGTTTTTTTATTTTTTAAACTATGTCGTTAGGGTGATTATAATTTTTCTAATCTCATGATTTACTTTGCAAACTTGTAGCACTGGATCTAGCTGTACTAGCATTAGTAGCATGTCAGGGTTGTGTTAGCAACAATTCTGTAAAACTTTAATTGTAAATGTTCTAATATCTCCACATTTAAGTTTGCGGCATATACACAAGTTCAGTTAGATTTTCGGACCATAGATAATATCATTGATCTTATCTTATATTTAATAAAAACTTTTAATTTTCGTAGTATGGATTTACACACACTATTGAGTCGAATGTCCAGTGTTTTCCGTTTTGTACTATCACATTAATATCGTGACAATATACATATTTTTGTTGATAGAGATATCAAAGAATTATTTAAATGAATTAGACGGCAGGAGTTTCTTCTTGAAATCTTTCACTTGATTTGGTTTCATCGGCTTATATCTTCCAGTTCCGTAGTTATACTGGAATATCATCCGCATTTGTTTTTAATATGCTGCGTGAAGGCTGTAGTTTAGTGTCAGTAGTTGAGGTATTACTAAGGTATTATATACAACAGTACCAAGAACAATATGTAATGCAGCCGGTATATTGTTACTGTATAACAACTATTTTATATTGAACTCATAGAACAATTCTTTGCACTTTTTAAAGTTTTGAGACTTCTTTAACTTATTGAAGGAAAATGTCTATAAAGCTATTAGCTGTATAATTGTAGAAAATTATAGTAGAAAATTTTATAGTTTATAACCTTTTTTATAGAGTATACCACTTAACTACACCTTTTTTACAACTTAAGTAATATTTTGATAATATTATGTACACTAATGTCGCGATTTGCGTGGATTCCAATTGTGCGGCCAAAAAATAGTTTTGGTTTCGAATTGCGTAGGTAACGTTTTGATTTGCGGCGTTTTTTAACACATGCATACAGAGGGGATTCCCATTTAATATCTTGTAGGTGACATTTTTTTAAGTGGTTTTACATGTATTAAGTTTTTAGTTAAAAGGTTATTTTTATTTTATTTTTATTTTTTTTTTAACGAGGACTCTAAAGCATCGAAAGCCTAAATCATGCGAAACTTTAAAACGCTAAAAACATGTCCTCATGTCCAGATGGAGAGTCCTTCCTGGAACTACTGTAATTCTCACCTTTTGTTTAGTTAAAAAGTGTCAGTTTACATTTGTGTGGTGAAGTGGCAAGGTAAATTTCTTCTTTTTAAAGTATAAAAATGCGTCAAAAGCGAAAACAAAGTTCCTTGGAACAAAAGTGAGATATTTTAAAACCTTTAAACTTGAAAAAAAACCTGCTGATATTGGGAGAATTCTGCGTTTAGCTACAACTACTGTAAGAACAATTTGTTATCATGATGCGGACTACATAAAGGACTATGGAAAGGAAAACCAAACTAGAAATCCATAAATTGTAAAATTGGGGTTCCTTCTAACCATATGGATAAAAAGTTAGAATCAAAGAAGAATGCCATTGAGCCAAATGTTAATTTAGAATAACGGTAATTCCCCATTACCAAGTGGACAAAACCAGAATATTTATGGAAATTAAATATGTGGAGAAATGTGATTCGATTTGCTTTGCATTGTGTCGTTCCTAATTAACGACACAAATCGAGGTATGAGTCTACACTTGTATGTCAAATAACATCAACAGATATAATTTACATATCTGTAAATGATATCTTGTGCATGCACAATACTAGTAACATTAAAAATGATTAAAGAAAACAAGAAAAAAAATTCTTCAAATATAACTAAAAGTTAAAGCACTAATCTGGTACGTGTTAGGATTACCGATTACCGATATTTTTGGTTTCAAGAAAGACCTGAGAAGCCACGTGTTAAGTTGACGACAAAATGTGGTTTAACATTCCTAAAAGGAACAACACAAGCAGATCCCTGCGGGCTACGACAGTAACAACAACCGATATTTTTTATTATGATATTAGCCAGAACAATACCTTACCATTATTTTAAAAATATTTTTTTTTTTGATTTTAACAATTACAAAATGCATTTAATTTCAACAAAAGTTAATAAAAAAATTTCTATTGTAAAAACCACAAACCAAAGTAATGGTATGCAAGAAGTGAAGTATCTGCGGCAATAACCGCACATTAGAATCCTTCGTTCAGTGTTGAAAACGGAAAAATGCGCGTTAAAGTGAAAACGAAACACCCTAAAACCTTTGTTCGGAAAACAAAATGAAAAAAAAATATGCATATAATGTAGTGTATATGATTATCAGTAAAAATGCAAGGAAACGTAAAAAGTCGTAAGGAAAAAATGTGCAACTCTGCTTGCTTTCCTGACTGACATTATACAAGTAGGTGCACACTGAGAAGGTTTCTTTGTGTTTGTGCGCTTCGGTGGCATAACATTAAGGATAATGGTTTACATTTGTTTACAACAAAGCGTCGCATACACGTTTACCACTCAATAACATTTGCTTTTATTGTTGTTGTACTGATTTTTTCTCACTTCTCTAAACTTCTACTTCCCTTTTATTCTTGTTTATGAAATGGTTTACATTGTTTTCTAGTCCTTTCATATTTCTACAGTATCATATCCCAATATGTCCTTTTTAAGGTTATATTCCAAAAAAAGAAGAAAATGAAGCATTTTATGTATAGGATATGAAGCCCTGCACAGGAAACACTAAACCGTAACAAAAGCTTCATTTTTCCGTGCCTTTTTCTTCCGCTTTTATATAAATTTTTTTCTACTGCTATTTGTTTGGTCTGTGATTGTATTTTTGCAATGCGTTTTCTTTTCATCCTTCTTGGATAGGTTTTTTGGCCAGGCAACCTTAAAAATTTCTGCACTTTTCTGTGGAACGCCTGTTGACATGGTTTGTTTTTCCTTACAATATTGTTCTTTTAAGGTTTTGTACTCTCTCGTTGTGTGGTTTGACATTTTTCTTTACGTTTATTGTTATAATATTGAAAAGATTCGAAAATATTCTTAATTTTGTTTTGGTTTTTAGCTTTTATATAATTTTTCCTGCGGATTACAATGAAAGTTGAAATGAAGTTCATAGAAAATAATAACAACAACACAATTACAGAGAAATAAATAATTATATTTTCAACAATCTTTAAATTGCTTTGAGGTTTGGACACCAAAAGTAATGTTGAGAACTACATTTTACAATGAATTTTGGGTTTTGCTTCTGATATGCTTTTATTTTCATTTTTAGTTTATTTGTAGCCACAATGCAAAACATTGGTTATACAGATGAAATGTTTAACGTTGTTAAAATTCTAATATAATTGAATTCATCTGACTATTTCATTAAAGAACAAGGTTATAACAACCACATTGGAGGTTTCAATCGGACTTAGGAAGTTTCACTCGGACTCGTGACGGGTTTCTAAAAAATAGTTATTGCTTGAATACTTTGTTTATTAGTAGCTCTAGTAGTAGTTGTGAATTTTAAATGTCTATAAAGCACATTGCAAAGCTATTGTTACGTTTATTGAAAACTCTGGCAACACTATGGAATCTTCATCCAATCAGAAACGAAAACTATTAGGACTCTGGTAGTTTTCTAAGATGACCTTGGCTTTCAAAAGTTAACTATCGAGAAGTCCAGCGGTTCACATTAAGTGTGAAAAGTTGTCTTCAAATTATAACTACTTTATAACTCCATTCGCTATCCACTATCAAAACTGTGCCAAAAATGGCACACTGTGCTAAAACAGATATTAGATGATCAAAATTCGGTTTATTTTAAATCAGTAGAGATATTGAAATGCAATATCTATGTAATATATAATATATAATACAGATATTTAGTGCATTAAATTTCAATTTTCTACCTGTTTTATAGTGTTTGAGACATGTAAAAAAATTTAAAAGTTGATCTTGTTTGGGCCCAAATTTAGAATGAATCCGGTAAGCTGATTGAGCTCAAATTTTATTGAAAATAAAAGCTATCTCAAAACTATTATTATTATTATTAAAGAAGAGATTGTGCACTGCGACCTAAAAGATCCATTGTGCCCTTTACTCGGGTTAGAGTGTTTCTCCAAGTCCGATTTCTTAATGAAAGACAGTATAGAGCCTACCTTTCCTAGTCTTGAATCTTTATGATCCATGAAATACCCTCCTAGGTGTTTCTTCCGCTTGTGCATCAGTGCCGGGTACTCTTCAAGCACGTGGTATGCAGTTTCTCTCTCCTCTCTACAGTACCTGCAGTCTGAGTTGGATTAACGTCTGAGTTGGTCAATAATCCCGTAAATCTCAAAACTATATTGAAGGAAAATTTTCTTTCAATCTCTACTAGTTGAGAAATTAGCGAACTTTGATCGTCTAATTTCTGTTTTGGCATACTGTGCGGTGCTATCCAAATATGACAACGGGGGACAACCATCAAACGAAGAGGGTGCCTAAACCATTGAAAATGGTCTTGCTAGTTTTTTGCTTTATGCTTGCAACCCTAGATTTCAACTCTGTTGGGGTTTCGTAAGAGATAACATACTTGCTATCAGAAGTAAACATACGATTAAATTTCTTTTTTAGTTTTTGTGCAGTTTTGTAATACGTTCATTTTAAGATATAGTAATTTATTTAATTTATTAGAATTTAATATAATTATATCTATGGGAGGTACTAAACTTTAAACGGAGACTAAACCATAGCTTGACATTTGATTTTCAATTTGTTTTTTATGAAAATTAAATTTTAGTAAATAAAAAAATCCGTTTCCTGTTGATTTTTTTCTGAAAAAACAAATAAGTAATAGTTTTGACAAAGTATATTAAACTTAGAAAATCTCAAAAATCATAAATATTAATTTTTCTTATATAAATAATACGTTTACGTTTATGTTTGTTAAATTATTTATAAGCTTATTTCTCACAGTAACTTACCTTTCCTAAAATGCGTTTAAAATTCAAATAGGCATAAAAGCAGCTTAAAATAATTTACAGCAATCGCCCCAAAAAATAAAAAAGAAAATTAAAAAAAAATTATTTTAACATTTTGATAGAAATGTTTTGTTGGTTGCAGACTAGGCGTATATTCATCCTCAATTTCATTTAAAATGTTCAGGTCCTTGTTTCCTTTAAGTGAAAAATGCAGCCAAGCGTATAGAATGTTATCGCATATAGCACATCAAATTTCATACATCATAAAACATATTGCCTTACTAAGTTACAAATTTGATAGCACAAACATAGGACAAACCCTAGCCCCAAACTGTACCAGACAAGACCATATTGAATGTTATATTTCATGTCATCTTAAAATGAGTAGCACAAAATGAGCAGGAAAACATTTAAAAGTAACAATTTAGTTTGTCCAAGTA